CAAAACTTTGTAACTTTGTTTCAATTTAGAAGAAACTGATTGTAATTTGATCGTCCTGACTTGTGGGACGAATCAACTTCTGTTCTTCAAACGAACACTAGTGGAACTACTTCAACTGGGCGTGGCCTCGTGGTTTTTTCCCTCTTTCGGATTTTCAACATAAAAATCTGGGTGTTCATTTTTTTTGTTTCCTGTTTGTGTGTGCTGAATATTTGTACAATGCTTGGACATAAAATTACAAACTCTACTGCCGCGTATATTCTAGCCCGCAATATATATATATATATATATATATATATTACTTAAAAAAACATCACAAATATTTATTTTATACACATTTAAATAATTTCAAGTTGATTAAATTTTGAGTATGTTATATTATATTTTATTTATTTATTTATATATTTTTTCATCAAATCGGCAGCTCCTCTTAAAAATAAATAAATAAATTTTACAATGAAATAGCTCAATAGTCAATAATTTTAATATCTCTGTGCCCTCGCTCGTCCCCTACACTATCTTCATCTCTAACCTAGGCACGGTCGGCGGTCCGATGGCGCCTTCGCCGGAGGATCATCACAAACAGCCTTCTACCGCGCGAACCATAGGCTTCTTCAAAACCTTAGGCCTATTTAATAACATTCCGGAAGCTTCAGAACGAAAAGACTTCTACTCAGACATCATTCGCAGTCTCCTTAAAGTTGACTACATCGATCGCGGCCGCGTCTTTTGCACCCTCAAGGTCAACGCTGCCGTCGTCGTAATCCAATCTGACCCGTCCTTTTTTGTGTGGATTTAACCAATTTCCTTTTCCATTTGCCCCAGTAATTTTGTGCTGAAATTTTTACCGTTTGATCTTCTGGAATGGAGTAGAATATATACAACACGCTACACGGTGGAGCTGTGGCATCTGTGGCGGAGATGGTGGGGCTAGCTTGCGTGCAGACAGTGGCTGGAGATAAGGAGTTCTTCCTTGGGGAGTTCAGCACTGCGTATCTTGCCGCAGCCGGACTTGATGTGAGGAAAACTGTTAGTTTGCTTTTGCTATCTGTTGGCTTGTTTTAGTTTTTGGTTTTGATTATCTTTTTTTTTTTAGTTTAATGGTCGACTGTGGAGATTTTAGTTTCTAGTTCGATTTTGATCTGGAAGGTCCCTTGCGGGGAATGTTCCTTTGTTCCTAATTAAGCGGTGATTTTATTAATTGGGGTTAATAGAGGGAAGCTTTTGCTCTTTTTTTTTTTTTCTTGGGGTGTTTCCTTTTAAGAATATGCTGGCGGTTTAGGAGTGCTATTTTTATTGTTCTTGAGCATCATTGGCTTCCATACAATAGAAGATAAAAACCAGGGTTTTTTAGGTTCGCTTAATTCAATGTAATAACGTTATTTAGATTGCAAGCTATTTTTAGCGACTAAAATAAAAGACAGAAAAAGAAATCTCATAATCAGCATTAATCTTTTTTGATAAAACTATAATTTTCAAATGATATTAAACCAAACAAACTACATTTGATAGATAACACTGTTATCAAAACATAATTTTTATCCGGATAATAATAAAATCCCCATAGTATTGTACCAAGTAACCCCTAGTTTTGAATATTTAGGTTTGTACATTTCTAATTTGATCAACCATTTTAATTTTAGTCGCTAGTGCAGTCTCGATCAAGATTAGAGCTATAAAAGAACTGAATCGAGTTGAGTAGGTGCTTGTTGTTTGTATTTATGCTTGTTTATTATTATCTTGTTTGAGCTAGGTTCAAGCTCAATTTGAGCATTTTTATTTGTGTTCATTATTGGTTCATTTAAAATGATAGTTGTTCTAGTTTGGTTTGTGTTCGGCTCATGTTCAGTTCGTATCATGCTTAACGAGATTTAAACGAGCTGCTCGTATAAAAAATAAACAAGTCTCACCGAACTATTAATGAGCTTTTCTTTTGAGATGTTAATTAGCTTAACAAATGAGACTTTTCGAGCCTACTAACAAACAATTATATCTACCTTATCTAGCTTGTCAATGAACATATCCGACTAGCTTTCTCAAGCTTATAAACTAGCTAGTCTATCAAGCATTTTTGAGCTTAAAAACTAGTAGCTTGCCCAACTCAGAAAATGATACTTTTAACGAACGTGTCTAAATGAGAACTCAAAATAAATAATGTAGCAAATAAGAACATGTACCTCTAATTAATAAATGCTAGAACCGTAGAACGTTTAGTTAGTTTACTTTTATTAATTAATGATTATTATGTTATTAAAATATAATAAAAAAATAATCATATTAGGTTGTTTTAAAAAATTTTAATGAAAAAAGGACCAAAAAAGCCCCTCAACTCTTTGTGATGGATCAAAATAGTCCCCAACTTTTTTTAGGGACTAATTTGGCCTCTCAACTCTTTAAAATAGGATATTTTTTAATCATAAATTCAAATGTTGGAGTTAATGACATTAATTATAAGGGTATTTTGGTCATTTTTAATTAAACATTTATTAAATGTGAAATGTTATATTTTATAAAATATGATTAAATTTTTTTGAAATTAAAATTATTATTAATTTTTATTTATTAAAGAAACGTTTAATAAATTTTTTTAAAAAAATTATAATTACTTGAAAATTATATTGAATAAATGTTTAATTAAAAAATGACCAAAATACGCTTACATTTAATATCATTAACTCCAACATTGAATGTCAGGATAAAATGTCTAATTTTAAAGAGTTGAGGGACCAATTGGTCTCTTAAAAAGATAGGGATCATTTTGGTCCCTCAAAAAGAGTTGAGGATACTTTTGGTCCTTTTCTTTTTTTTTTTAATTAATGATTATTATGCAATTTAAATATTCACATTAGGTTGTTCATTGTTTTTATAATGAGACTTGATCGAGCTCCATATCAAACATTAATCGAGTTTCTTAACATGCTTATTCACATGCTCTCTATCGAACATGAATTGAGTTATTAATGATCTTGATATAAAGCTTCTAATGGGGACATCAGATCGTGGAAGGTTTATCAGAGGCATGGCCGCCGATCTACGGTCACGATCGAGTCATTGTACTTTTGATTTATGTTATGTATTGTTTTAGTTATTTGTCGTTGTATTTATTTTTATGCTATTTTATTTTCCATTGTACTCTTCTAGTAAAGGGATGTCGTATGTAAGCCCCGAGGGCGTTGTTGTCTTTTATTTCTTGAGTCTCATGTAGTAGGCTATTTATAGCCCCTTGTTTTATTTTTCAAGGAATGAATGATTGATTAAAATTTTCCCTTGCATGAGTTCTTGTGAGAGCTTGAGAGTTTGAGTGGTAAATCCCTAGGAGAGGGAACTCGGATCACCCACCAACCTTGGAGACGGCCGGGTTCGTGGTTTTATTTCTCTATCTCCTTTTCCCCCTTCCCCTCTTCCCCTAGCCGCCGGTTTTTGAGTACCCCCAAATCCCTAAGCCGCCGGCCACCTTACTCCCCATCCCCACTCATCGGTTGAGCCCAATACTGCCACCATCCACGGCCAAGCCCCCAACCCGCCAACCCCCTTTGGTTTTCCCCCTCCTTTCCTTTATTTCCTAATATGGATTAAATATATTTAGGATTACATTTGAATTCAAATCCAAGTGATTTGAAATTCAAAATATTTCATAATATACAAAATCTATTTTAGGAAAGTCTTTAAACCTCAATCAAATCAATTTATAATTAATTGGGATTTAAAATTTCCTTTCCTAATTTACATATCCCAATCTAGCAAGCATTAAACAATTGTCAGAAGCCCTCTTTTCCCTCTAGTTGCCGCCGGCCCCCTCTTTGGATTTGGAATAGGAAATCTTTCCTAAAAGCCAATCCATCTCTATAGAAAGATTTCCAAACCTGAGATTTTGCCCCTTGGCCGAAATTTTCAAAGGCCCCACTCTTTAATTGCCTTCCAAATCCTTTAGGATTTGAAAATCAATTCCTAATTCCCCCTCTCTCCAATTTCCACCCCCTCTCTCTTTTGGACTTCTTTGAAAATCTTTACTTATAGCCATGCCTCCTCTAAGAAAGAGTTTAAAGCCTTTCCCTGCTGCTGGCCGAAATTTCCAAAGACTCTCTCATTAATTTTCTTCCACTAAACCCTATCCAAACTCCATACAACATTGAGCCCTCTTCTTCCTAAGAATGCAGCCAGAAATTTCAGCCATTGCCTTACGGAGTACAGACTTGAGTACAACGAGGACGGCTTCGTACGCATTCTTCAGTCAACTTTCTTTGATGTTAATCCGAGGATCGACCACTCCGTTGAAGATTACATAAAACGTATTCTGGACACTTTGGTGGAAGCAATTGAAGAACAACTTGAAGGTGTTGAGTGGAGGATCACCACCGATCCTTGACAAAGGGTTCTACTTTCCCCTTTCATTATATTTCTTGAGTCTAACATTATCTTGTGTTTGATTGTAGTCATGAAGGATGCTTCCTCCTGCTTCTGCTAAGCTTAGTAAACGTACGGTTTTGAGTGTACTTCTTTGTTTACTTATTCTCATTGTTAGATTAGGGATTCTTATTAAAACTAAATATTCTAGCATAATGTTGTTTACTAATTTATTTTGAAAGTTTCAAATCTCTGGTTATGTGATTTAGCCTAAGCGGGCGTGACCACTTTCTTGTTTTAATTCGTTGTTTTAAATGCTAATAGTTTCTTCACTGTTGTTCAAATCAAAAGTTGTGCGAATTCTAAATAAAATCATTGCATCCTTACGTAGTCCTACATCAGCTTCTTATCGAGCATGCTCATGAGCTTTAAAGGATATTGTTGTTAGATCGGTCAATTGGACCGGTTCAGCCGATCCATACGGGATCGGCTTATGGGAAACAAAGGCAGGACATATCCGCCTACTATGCTCGCAGGTCCAATCGCCCGGGTCCAATGGAGTTGTTTAGGAAGGATTTTTTAGGGAGTTAGGGGGGAAATTTGAATGTAGGGACTACTTAGAGATTTCCTTTTTGATTTTATGTATGTATTATTATTTTTTTATTGTATGCATTAAATAGTTTATTTTTCCTAGTGTTAGGGCAGCTTGAATTTGGCTGAAATTTGAGATATCTTAGGTTTTTTTTTGGCTCTAGCGGCGTCTAGAGATTTGGGAGAGATAGATCCTCTTGAATTGAGGATCAACTGTATCTTATTATTATTTTTTCGTTTTATTTGATTCTTACAATAAAATTACTATTTTTTCTGATTTTCATTAGAGTTTGGAGGAAAGTTTTCGCTGTTTTATCAAAGATTGATACGGATTCTTTATAACTTCAAGCGTGTCCTAACAAATTGGTATCAGAGTAGATTTTGGGATTATTTGGGGGATTTTTCCGAGAAAATTAGCGATTGATTGTTAGCCGGAAGGGGGTTGTTTTGGTGTTTTTTGGAATCGAGATTCATATTTTTAGTCCAGCAAAAATCTGGATATCGATGGTGGCCAAGAAAGTAGATGCGTTGGAGGAAATCCTCGAAGAGGAGATTGGTTAAATGAAATATGAAATTTCATATATACATACTTAAGTTTCAGCTTTAAAGAAAGAAGTTTTAGTCATCCATGATAAGATCGATTTAAAATTTTCCACCATGGGGAGATGTTTGAAGAAAGTGCTCGAGGGCCAAAATAAAAAAATGTCGTTGGAGATGAGTGAAGTCACCGACAGTCAAGGAAGTGGAGAGAATTCTAAGCCAATCAGACGAAGGGAGGATCAGGAGGAGGAGATTTCAGAAGAAACAGAAAAAGCTTCCTCTAGAGCCTATTCCTTGGGAGGAGTTTGGTAGAGAGTATGTGGAGAGGTGTGAGGGGGTTAGGCATGAGTGGAAGGGTGTTGAATTTGAAAGAAGAGGGGCTGAATTTGAAAGGAAAAGACTTGATTATGATCGAAGAGGTGTCGAATTTTAAAGGAGAGGGGTTGAATATGATCGAAGGGGTGCTTAATTTGAAGGGAGAAGGTGGGTTTGTGATAAAAGGTTTGGATGCGAGTAGAGGAAGGATGATTGGCATAATTGGGGAGAACCACTCC